ATTCATACAGAATCCAGAACATCCGTCGCTGATTGATTTGATGCTAATGACTTTTGGATCGACGACGCCAGATTGTGATGCTGGTCAACCACCCACGCGCGCGTCGAAGCACACCAACGAGCTTCTCAGGAGCTGCCCGACTTCAGGGTAGAAAACCTGAACATGTTCGAAACACGCGGAACCAGCAGCACTGTGTTCGGATTGTTCCAGAAGGCTCTTCCCGCCATCGCCAGCAAGCTGTACAAGGTTCCGAAGGTTAAAGAACTCTACGACAAAAGAAGTTTTGATCTCATTGTTATCAAATTTGTTTAATGAGGTAAGTTGGCTTGGGATTTTGATTTCATTTCGTAAAGTTTAGTTTTTAGTCTGATGATGAGTAGAGTCGCGTACGTGATGGGGATTTAGTCTAGGAAGGAACTCTCTTATGGTTAAGCCAACCGAGGGAACTTCGTATTTGGAAGAAAAATCCTGAACTGTTATAAAACAAATTTCCTAAAATCGTCTTCTTACCTTTAAGAGTGCTGTGAGAACTGCCATGGCCACTGCTAGATTAATTTAATTGAAAATTACATTCTTATAGTTATGGCAAATAAAAAAAGAGGGAAATGATAAGGCGTTAAATGCCGCCTAATGAATTTGTTCAACGAATATTACAGAACGGATCTTACTATTTCAAATTCAGAATACTTTATTCCATTTGCTGCCATGGTTATTCATATTGCATAGAAAGATTTGTATAGTCATATGAATATAAGACAAACATAAAATTAACAGTAGTACTTGTAATTCTTGCCCATTTTTATATTTGGAAACCTGATCTCATTGGTAATTTAAAGGTTCATTGAAGTTCTTTTTGAATGTCTCCGAGTTCTGAATGTTTCTTATGTTGTTGGTTCCATGCTCCAGTGTCTGTACGTGATATTTAGACATGTAGAGTTTACCTGCCATGTTTAAGCACAGGTTGTGTTACCTACGGATAGATAAAAAACTAGTATTATTTTAATAATTAATAGTATCAAGCATTTGTTTTGTATTTTTTAAACAACTTTGTTTATGTGTGGGATAATGTGGGCATATTTATGCTACCAAGTGCTCCTCTCTCAGCAGTTTTGTAATTTTTGAATTTTCTGAATTTGATCTCTGTAAGTTGTACTCCATGTGTTTGAACAATAATCAGTTATACTGAGAACTAATGTTTTTACAACCGATATTCTAGTTTCGGCGGGGATTCTATTGCTTATATGGCTTAGGTGAATTTGTATTTTCTGTGGATGTTGTCGACATGGTTCTCAAATAACATGAATCTGTCAATGTGTACGCTTGGTCTTATGTGGCTGTCTGAGGTAATGTTTACAGAAATTTTGCCTGTCTTGCCTGTGAAAATTTATTGTTTTATCTGTATTTATCTTGAGATCATTTGTGTCAACGTATCCTTTTTACTCGTGCAAATGTCTCTTGAGTCTTTTTTGTTAATTAATCTATGTTGTTTACACAGTCACTCTGGAGAAATTGTAAACAGCGTATTCAACAAGACGGCAGTTTTGGGCTATGGTTGACAGAGCACTTACGAATATTGTGAAGAAGACTGGGCCTAATATCTATCCTTGTGGATAACCGAAGGATACCATCTGATTTGATGTATTCTCGCAATTTTGACTGATTGGGTTCTGTAATTTGATAACTTCTGAACCATTATGCATAAATTTTGTGATTTATTACATTACTCAGAAGGATTTCGTGGTTGACACTACCAAGCACGCAATGTAAGCACGTTTTTTTTTGGTTGTCTATCTTATAGATTTTATTTGCGATCTGTAATAATGCTGTTTCAGTTGACAGCTTCTGAACCATGTTGGGTATTGGGTAGTAGGTCATGTCTCTATAAACGTCAATTGGTCAGTTAATTTTTTTCGAGGACTTAATAGGGCGATACTTATCAACATCTGCGTCTGTGGATTTGAATACTGGTGTTATTATGCCTTATTTCCAAAGTCACATATGTGGAGTTTAGGAGTGAATAATGAAAATGGAAGATTATGGAGGAAGGGGAAGACCAGTTTCCATAAAAAAAAATAAGATATATCTGTTCAGTTGGCGAGATGAAATGGCCAAATATGTTTGCATTTCGTCTGTCAGCCAATCAGTTAATTATTGTAACAGTTGACCTGTCAGTCTTTAAAAAATCCCAGACCACCAATCAACAGCCAAAAAACATCCATAGTCACATCGTAGATATCACCCCTTTACTTCACTAAAATGGAAAGAGAGAGAGAGAGAGAGAGAGAGAGAGAGAGAGAGAGAGAGAGAGAGAGAGAGAGAGAGAGAGAAGAGAGAGAGAGAGAGAGAGAGAAAGAGAGAAAGAGAAGAGAGAGAGAGAGAGAAGAGTGTCATGAACGTCTAAATTCCATTCATAAACATTCTATTTGCTTCAAGTATGGTGTTGCCACTTGTTGAGTTTCTTTACCAGAAGGAATATAGTAAGTATTCAAGAACGTACTGGTCAAATATTTGGTCAGCGAAATAGTGAGTAACGTAAGTTGTAGATAATAAATTAAACAGAAAAAGCTGGCCAATCAAAGGCAGCAGAAGGGCTATCCTTGCTGCAGTAGCACTTTTGATTAAGAAAGCTCTTGTAATATGTAAATTTTAAGATGTAATAGTAAATGCATCAATGGATGTGGGAAATTTAAGAAAATAAAATTATGTATTGGCATCAATGAGGAACCAATATTAATTCCTCGACGTTTCTGCAGTGATAAAACTTTTAACCTTTCGCCCAGGCCGCGTACCCGTTCGCCCACGAGATGCCCTTCATCACCATAGCAACGCCAGGTGTGGACTACCGCCAGAGCGCTGTCCTCGGCAACGTCTTGAATCCTTCTTACGCTCCTAACTACATGCAGTCTTACCCAGCACCTATGAGCATGCTCCACCGCTTCACGAACACGATTCAACACATCATGTTTGCCGTAAACTGGCGACATTGGAGCATTGTTCCGGCCGTACAGAAGGAGGTGAGTATCCTGGCGAGGAAGGGAAACTAGGTCTTTCAGCGTTGCTTACATTTTGATAAAAGATGCTATTATGGTGCTTATTAAGCTTACAGTAAATGGTTTTCATTGCCTTGGATTCCAGATCTAGTAATGGCAAGAAATATATGGAAGGACGAAGATAATAATATATATTTCCATTGTATCATTTAATAAATTTTATGCTCGCTTGTTTTAAATCCATCAGTAATTAATGTTTACTGAGACAATAACCGCGTCCCAAGAGGGTAAGAAAACAAGTTCCAGTAGGGTTAAGTCAGCATATGAAACTGGTTCACATCTGTCTCTCCAGATCTCGGCCCAGTTCCCGGACCTCCCGCCATTGCTGGACATTGAGCGCAACCAGAGCCTTACCTTGATGAACTCCCACTTCACAATGAACGATGTTCTGCCTCTGCTGCCGTCCCAGGTGGAAGTGGGGGCCATGCACTGCCGTCCTGGCAAGCCCCTCCCTAAGGTGAGACTCGTCTTTCTGAAGGGGTTCTATGCAAAGACCGTCTACGAAAGACAGGAAACATATCTAACGCATTCTAAAAAATGTGAGCTCCCCGGTCGTCTACCAGCGCCATCTGTTGACTCGACGCCCAACTAAACGTCCGACGTCGTTCAGTGGGTGGGGGTGTGCTCAGTGCTCACTCGGGTTAATGTTCTTGGTCAGTTCAGACTTATTCAGAGGAGGTTGTGAATAGCTTATTTACTAAAATTTATATATATATAAATATATATATATATATATATATATATATATATATATATATATATACATATATATATATAATTCATATCGTATAATGACTTTGTAGTAGCCCTTATTTTCTTCATATAATTCTTTCGCCCTCCCCCTGCCCATTCGGCAATTTATGGCTGGTTACCAACTATAAATTAGTAGTTCATACATGCACGACATACATACGGCGTATACAACTTGCCATATACAGGACACATTAAACCACGTGGCACATTGATCTTATAGGCCTACAGTCACATAACATTAGTGACATATAATGTATATGATTATATTGACAAACATGCATTAATACATAGAAATTTAGTATGATAAATTAAAGAAAATTATTACAATATCTTTATTAGAATAATAACAAAACCTTTACAAATAAATGGCCGAAATACACATTTTTATTTCAATTCTTCGCATTGCGACCGCATGATTTTGAGATTCATTTCCTCATTAAAAAGTGTTTTTGTTTGATAAGGGGACTATCCCCTAAACCCCTTTCCTAGGAGCTGCCTGGAATGCATTTGCTACACCTTGTACACTCTGGCTAGGAGCTCGAAACAGGCCACCCGTCGTTGTTCTGTTAACATTTGAACTTATTTTACTTTCTCTACATTTCTGTTTGTCCCTACTATACAGATCTACCAAGTCATGATCATTGTTCAATCAATATATATGTTGATTTTGGTGATAACTATAATCTAACTCAAAATCAACCTGACAGGGTATTTTTCACTCTATTGATATCAAAGTAGATTTTTGGCCTCTACTTTTTTAGACGGGCGTCATGACGTCATGTGATCCAATTTATATCTTGCTTATGTCAATCTGAACGTCACATATCTTAAGTTATATCTAAAGAAGCATAGATATTACGGACAATATGCAATATAAGGTAGTGCCTAAGTTGGGAGATAAAACCTATATAAATCGATAGACCGATACAAACCAAGACACTTTTCTTCTATGGCAATATTTGTGCAAATGCTTCCCAAGGGTGCTATACGTAAATGAACAGAGGGGAGAGCCCAATTTTGTCAAGTCCATCATCATCTTTTCATGACGTAAGTAAACATTGGACTGGACGCAGAACCGATTACTGCGCTGTTCAGTCTAGTGCATGTATTGCTGCGCGATTGTGAAAAGGATATTTTGCTAATCATCAGTGTCTGCCGTTCCATATTTATGCTTTCAAAGACCTTTATTAATGTTTTTATACCTCATTTACGTGTTTTAAGATTGATTAAACAGGTTTTAACGGGAATCGGTCTGAAGGATCTTCTGCGCATGCGTATTTTCGCGTTTCTCGCCGCCAGTTTTGACAGGTGGATTCGCGGGTAGTCGGTGGCAGAGAGCCGGTAAGAAATGTTTTGTTTTCGGTGTTGCGTCGATTCTAGGTTATTCCTAAGACTATGCAGTGGCAACGAAGAAAAAGACCTCAATAACTATCGCAGTTCCATTTCTAAGGGCATCAAGTTCCCCAAATCCCGAAAAAAGCGATAAAAACGAAGCGACCCACGATCCACGACCGACCGAAAGAAGCGAAGGAAAATTGACAGTTCGGTCTTTCAATATATAAAGGTATTTGGTTTATTGTTTACAGTATGGATGTAGCTCTATCTTGCCGTACATACCGAGGTGAAGAGAATGTGTCCCGGGGGGTGTTGGGGTGCTTGCCCCCCATCAACCCTCCCCTCGGGCAGTGCCCGAAGGGCACGCCTAGTCACGGCACCGTAAATTGCTAGGTTAGGTTGGGTTATGGGTTAGGACGTTTTTTATGCTTGAAAGGTGCGAAATCCCGTAGATTTTACCGAAAGATGCGTTGTATTACCGTAGAGTTTTTCGAATTTTGGTGCGCAAGTGCGTAGAGTTTCATTAGCCGGTTTTTAGCCAGTTTTGGGCTAGTTTTTTTGTTTTTGTTCGCTATTCTTCTTATTTAAGCCTGTTTTACCCCATAATTTCCCTGATATACTTCATGCCCTCCCCTACTAATGGGACTAACAAATTAAGATTGTTGATGGAAGTGGTACTCAGATCTCATCAACGAAGCATTTGCACAAGAAACAACTAATTACCATGTCGGAACTGTCAGAACAATTTTCCCGCTCCTATGTTAACAGACGGGTATGAGATGACGTCACGAGATGCTCACTAACGTCATCTATTGCGCCGACGCCGCATTACTCACAGGATTTTGCTCGACTTTACGGTCTTTCGTAGATAGTCTTTGGTTCCATGCTAGATGGAGAACCACAACTCCAAGGTATTATCGATGAGCACAGAAATGAAATGGAATATCGATGGTAGCCGATGCTCATCTGGATTTATTTGGATTTGTAAGTGGTCGTTTGTCAGTAGACACGTATCCTACAGGATTTAGAGTCGTGGATCAGTGGCGCAGGATCAGAGGGCGTCGTGTACTTCAGTCTCGGCTCCGTGGCTCAGGGTCAGTCGATGCCCACGAAGTACCGAGATATGTTCGTGGAGGCCTTCAAGCAGCTCAAACAGCGAGTCATCTGGAAGTACGAGGAGGCGCTGGAGGGCATCTCTGACAACGTGCTAATGCGGAAGTGGCTGCCGCAGCAGGATATTCTCGGTGAGTTGATCTTAGCTGGTTCTGAAATGCAAGATTTACATTTTTTTTTTCTCAAGATACCCATTGGCAATACTATTAGTATTACTGATGATAATCTTCATGAGCATCATAGTAAATGGACAAGGAAAACAATGGCACAGCAATTAAATCTTATAAATTTCAATAGGAAACAGGGTAAGGATTATTGTTGTTTTTGATAACTAACCGCAATGGAGAACCCTAGAATGGGGTTGCTCATGTGTTTTACCATTGGTGTTTCAGCGCATCCAAACGTCCGGGTTTTTATCTCCCACGGAGGACTCCTCAGCACTCAGGAGTCCTTCTACCACTCTACGCCAGTCCTCGCAATCCCCATCTTTGCGGATCAGCCCAAGAATGGCATGAACATACAGAACAACGGCCTCGGGCTGATGCTTGTGTGGGAGGAGTTGACGGTCGAGCTCATCGTCAACAGTCTCCAGGAAATTATCTCGAATCCCAAGTAAGGGTTTTCAGCTTGAATGTACAGGACTTTTGAAGCTTTTTATTCATTAATACTGAATTATCTGACTCTCACACAGAGACATGGTTTCTGCACATTCCTTGAGGCCTCAGAGCCTCACTGACAGCGAGCCCTCAACCGCAGGTACAAAGCCAGGGCCGCAGAGGTGCGGGCTCCCCTCCGCGACCAGCCCGAGAGCCCGAAGGATCGGGCGGTGTTCTGGACCGAGTACGTGATCCGGCACAAGGGCGCCCCCCGGCTGCGGTCTCCGGCGGCGACGCTGTCGTGGGTCGAGTTCCTCATGCTGGACGTGCTGCTGGCGCTGCACGTGGCCGTGGTCGTGGCGGTGTACGTGCTCCGCCGCCTCGTGGGAGCCGTCTGCTCGCGGGTCCTCGGGTCCCGGAGCACAGGCAAGAGGAAGAGGGAGTGAGTTTCCTCGGTGATGCTTTCATTCTCTAGATTTATCGGTATTTCAGCATTTTAATTGTTGTATTTGTTTTTTTCCGTTTCGTTGACTATATGAACGTTTTCCTTGTGTAAATATTTTTTTATGACAATACAATGTACTTTGTAAAACGACGTATTTTATTTGCCTATTCTGTAACGAGCCATGATAGTTTGCTTTACGTTATTGAGGAATTATTTAGGATATGTGTGCAGCTCCCCCCCCTCTCTCTCTCTCTCTCTCATATATATATATATATATATATATATATATATATATATATATATATATATGTATATATACATATATATATATATATATATATGTATATATATATATATATGTATATATACATATATATATATATGGTGGTGATTTGGCACGACCTTACCTAATGGCTCATATTCATTTTAACATGATTTTCTTCAAGAAATTTGATTACGTACATGAACGCTTCAGTGTATCAGAAGATCGTACTTGTCATAGGAATCACAAATATAAATGTTACATAAATTTATAATACAGCATCAAAACACGGTAATTACACAAGTAATGGTATTAAAGCAAAACAGTGTTAGGTACATAGCTAACTAGAGAGCGCATACCTCCGCCAAGGCAATGGGGTCACTGACGCAATAAAAATATCCACACATTTGAAGAATTGCATTAAATTCATCCCATTCTCAAGTACACTGGTGACGTACGCCTAGAGTGCAGTGCTGAGAACAAAATGGAAATTGTTATTTTTTACACTATTTCATTGTGGTGGTGAAAAATTAGTATGCTTTTCTTATTTCCACCGTGGTTTCCGAGGCATAGCTGTAGAATGTTTTGATTCCGAGTTGATTTCAGCAATAAAGGAGTTTGTTGTCTCTATCTCGCAGTGCTAATGAATCATTAAAAAAATATCTGGACTAAGACACACCTCTGATAAAAAAAAAAAAAAAAAAAAAAAAAAATCTGTTCAAATATATATATTTTTTGCGTTATCATTCTAACCAACGACCAAACATATAAACAAACACGCTACCAAACATAATCTCCTTGGCGAAGGTAATGTTACTACAACGAAGCCAGTTACACAGATAATGGTACTACAACGAAGCAATTTTCATTGGTTATAAAACTCTTACTGTCACAAATAACAACGTATGTTACATATATGCAGGTGCACCGTGTCCCTCAGAATAGGAATGACCTTTGTTTATCTTCTCTGCCGATATGGTACACCAATATCCGAGTCATTATACGAGAAAAAAAAAAAAATCGAGATGAACTTCTTCGGTCAGACCAAGTTCCCTTAAATATGCGTGTTTATTCAAAACATGTATTACTTGAGGTCTGCATTTGTTAATTTATGACCTATTAAATGTCGAAATCACTTGGTAAGTTATACGAAATATAGAGAGACTGCCCTCGACTGAGGAAGGACAGGAAGGAAAAAGCGAGTGAGAGAGAGAGAGGAGGAGGGAGAAAGAGAGACAGAGACACTCAGACAGACAGGGACAGTGGCAGAGAGAGAGAGGTCTAGTGCAATGTCAAACACTGACAGAGAGAAAAGGGGGTGGGGGGCAAACAGACAGACAGACAGACAGAGACAGTGGCAGAGAGAGATAGGTCCAGTGCATTGTCAAACACTGACGGAGAGAAAGGGTGGGGGGGGGGGGACAAACAGACAGACAGACAGACAGACAGAGACAGTGGCAGAGAGAGATAGGTCCAGTGCATTGTCAAACACTGACAGAGAGAAAGGGTGGGGGAGGAACAAACAGACAGAGACAGTGGCAGAGAGAGAGAGGTCCAGTGCATTGTCAAACACTGACAGAGAGAAAGGGTGGGGGAGGAACAAACAGACAGAGACAGTGGCAGAGAGAGAGAGGTCCAGTGCATTGTCAAACACTGACAGAGAGGAAGGGTGGGGGAGGAACAAACAGACAGAGACAGTGGCAGAGAGAGAGAGAGGTCCAGTGCATTGCCAAACACTGACGGAGAGAAAGGGTGGGGGAGGAACAAACAGACAGACAGACAGACAGAGACAGTGGCAGAGAGAGATAGGTCCAGTGCATTGTCAAACTGACAGAGAGAAAGGGGGGGGGGCAAACAGACAGACAGACAGAGACACAGAGAGAGATAGGTCCACTGCCGTGCTCTATCAAGGTACCATGGAAGCGATGATAACACACATGAAAGGATGGCATCGAAAGGAGCACAACAATGAGTTAAAGAGGCACAAGAAACTTATTTGAAGGGGGGGGGGGAGGGGGACTGTGCATCCGTAACCTCCCAATAAAACGTACAGCAGATTAGAAAAACCTATGAACATCAATATTTTTTTTCGTATTCTGATTGCACTGTCACCGCAATTCTCCACGACAAAATGAAGTGATAACGGGACGATGTCGTCGAACTAGCTACGGCTCACGTAACACTACTTGATTATCGCAGTAACCAGTATACCCCGCTTTTGTCGACAATAGTATGCAATACCTTTCGTTCTTCTAATATTTTCGTTTCTTTTCTTGGAGATTTCAGTTATTTCAATGGCCAGCTGTAATTGCCACTTACTGGTATAATTTTATTTCTTCTTCCTTTATTCATCTCAAACTGGCGGAGGGGGACTGATCACCTTCCTAAGAAAGGGGGAGGGGCGTATCTCCCGTCATCCGTGTTCTTTTAAGTAATGATGCTCCTA